CCCCACGGCAGGTCCAGCAGGCTGCCCTGTGTCCAGTGGGCAGAGGTCCTGATGGGAGCATCTTCACTCCTCTCTACCTCCCTGAGCGCCGAGGACAGGGTTCACAGCCCAGGACCCCTGCCAAGGTCGGTGACATTCACTGGCCACAGCAAGGACTTCCCATGACAGCTGCTGCCCAGAGCCCTGGACACAACCTCACCCTTTCTCTGGGCAACCCCTTCTCCAAACGCTGCTGCCGACCATAGGAGGGGACATCTGGGGTCAGCTACCTGAAGAAAACCAGGACCCTCCCCTTATGAAACCCAGCAGGACACCCACAGAGTGAGGGACACCCACGTGATCCCCAGTGGCCTCCCAGGGTCCCTTGAGGCTCAGGGGACGTGGGTGTTCACACAGGTGTGTGCATGCTAAGTGTGCACACATGAGGCTGGCTGCCCAGCCACGGAGTCCTCAGTGCACACCTGAGGGGCTGGGGACAGCAGCCACCCGCTCACAGCCACAGCAAGGCCTCCCGMAGCTCCCGGCGCCTCCTCCAGGCGAGGCCTCCTCTCAGGTGGGGGCCCTGCTCTACGGGGGCACCCTGGGACCCCCGTGGTGTCACATGTGCAGAGGCTCCTCCTGGCGGGCTCCGACCTTCTCTCCCCGGGCACCTCAGCACCAGGGCTGCGGCCTGACACACCCCAGGCCAGGGACTTCACACTCACCCGGGGCTGGAGTCTGCACTTCTGGGAGGCCAGCTGCTCACCCTTGTCACTAAGGGATCCCTGCTCGGGCTCTTCCTGGCACCTCGCCACCCCACCCACCTCTCTGCTAGCACCTGGCCCCACCATCCCAGCATTCTGCACTCGCCTCCTTCTCGGCCGCCACCCTGACCCCCACCCCCTCAGGACTCACTCATGACGCCTCAGGCCGTAGGAGATTCTGCTGTCCCCTAGCGGGGGAAGGGAGACTGCTCACAACTGCACCCCAGACCCACGAGGGACATGGCTTTGGAGAAGGATCTTCCTAGAACCAACAATGGCCAGTGACAAGTGGCCAGCCAGCCCTGAGCCTGCCCCACCCGAAGGGGCGCAGGTATCCAGGCAGGACCCCGGGAGGGCCCTTCCCTCTCTGCAGGCACCTGAAACTCCTCCCCTGGGCAGCAAACTCTCCCGGCCATGGAGCTCAGAGATCCGTTCCTGCACACAGAGACCAGGAGGCCTGGGAGAGTTCCCAAGAGGACACCATGGATCCCAGGCCAGGAGGCTCCTCACACTGATGAACGGACCATGGCCAGGCACAAGTTCAGACCTGTGACAGAGGTGTCACCCCCACCCCTGCCCCGAACCAGGGCTGCTTACTGGACAGACAACCTGGCCACAGGGATAGGCAGGGGACAGCATCCAACACACGCATGCCCCTCTCTCTCCTTGGTGTGCACRCACACACACACATGCATGCCCCTGCCACGCCTGAGACACAGTGCCACCGCCTCCTAAGGGCACAGCCTGTTGCCTGGACAGACAGACAGACAGGAACACAGGGAGCGCCTCCAGGGCCACCTGCTTCAGGGGCCTCCTTTGTTCCCTTGGTTTGGTTTGGTGCTGGGACCCAGCCTTGGCTGTTGGGCAAGGGTTTGCCACTGAGCTACACCCCAGTCCCTCCTTTGGCTGTGGCAGAACTTGGTGACGGCACGTTGGACCGCCTGTCTGGCCCCACACTCACAGACTGTCTCCCCAGATGCCACCCTCAACCCCAGCTCCAAGGGTTCACAACAGGGTGGTCTGGGGTCCATGCCCGCCTGTCCCTGCTCAGACCACCTCTGATCTCACTGTGACGCAGTCCTCCTGAGATCAGAGCTGCTGCTCCCTGACCCTGCTCAGCAGGACAGGACCTAGACCCCTGTGCTGGGTCCCCTGATCCCCACTTCCCTAGCTGGCCAGACAGGTGCAGCCTCTCATCACGGCTGGCAGCACCCCTCCAGGGCAGCACAGGGCATCACCTGCTGCCAGCCTGCCCCCAACAGGACAAAGGTGACTGAGGACTGTGTCAGGGGCAGGGCTCACTTACAGAGGGAGGCAAGAGTCCCGAGGTGACCCACGTGAATTCAACAATGGAGCACAAAACCATGAAAACAGGATCCAGGCAGAAAAGGGATCCAGAAAGAGGAACTGGAACACTCCGGGAGAGGAAGACTGAGCTAGGAGGCCAGGCTGGAGACAGAGCCGACCACGTAGCAAAGCCTTGCCAAGGGCCAGCATGGAGGCTCCTTCCTGAGGGAGGGCCTGGGGGACACGTTGCCAGGGCCTGGGACCTTCCCGGTCAGTCTCCCCACAATCCCCCACAGCATCCCGAGACCTCAGCGGTGGCACATGCCTGGGGACAGCCAGTCTGTGCAGGCAGCAGGCCCTGGTCCTTCTCTGAGGTCAGAGAGGAAGTCCCYGCCCTCCTACACTCTGCAACACTCCCACCAGAAGCTAAGACTACTGAGCCTTCTCACTTTCAAGAGAGATCTCACACCAAAATAAAACTCAGGAACATGCTGTCCTGCAGAAGTGCTGATGGGCGGGGGGAGGCCAGAGGACTTACTACAGGGTGGGACCCGGGAGCAAGGGAMCCCAGGCCATTCCAGAGCACAGGAGGGGTGGGCAGAAGCTAAGGATTGGGAAGTAAAGCATGGGGGTGGACGTCCCTTGTCTTCCCCTCCCCCTCCCAATCAATGTTCATCCTTTTTGAGGAGCAGGTTCCTCTGGGGGAGCCTGGGGGCTCCATTACCAACAGATACCACTCAGGCAAAGGGGACACCACTTTCTCGGCTCTTAGGTGCCAGTGGCAGGGGCCCCACCTGGGTCCAAGCAGCGGGGCGGCAAGAGTCACGCTTCCACCATGGCTAGCTCTGAGAAATCGCCCTGGCCATCATGTCCTAAGGAACAGCAGCTGCCGGAAGCCCCGCAGGGCTGTCCTGCTCCTCCAGCCCTGCGCGTCACAGTGCAAGAGGCCCYGGCTGGCTTGAATCGGCTCACACAGGACCCTGAGTCCCAATCCCCCACAGCATGGTGCCTCCAAGGTCCACCTTCCCCACCACCACCCCAGGAGGCTGCCAGAGGAGGGAAAGACCTGCGGTGAACACGGATGACTCCCAGCATCAGGGGGCTTGACCCTGTCCTGCAAGGACCCCATACCACAGGCCTCTGGAAGGCGGCTGGTCCCAGCTTCGGCAGGACTTGCCCACCAAAAAGAAAAGCACGTGGTCCCTTCCCCTGCTGGCCATGGGGCACACCTGAGCACCAACTCTGAGCTGGCAGCCCCTATTTGAAATCAGGACCCAACCAAGCAGACTCAAAGACCACAGCACAGCCACTCCCAGGGGCACAGGCAGCGGAGTTCCAAAAACCTCTCCATGGAAACGCGAAGCACCCCAAGCCCCAGATGCAGTCCTACAGGAGCTCCGMCAAATTTCACAAGTCCAGCTCAGACCATAAAAGGGGCATTAACAAGCACACAGGAGGCCCACACTTCCCGCCAGCACCCACGGTGAGTGTCCTCAAGCCCTCCTSGGGAACTGAGAGCAGGCAGATGACAGCTGAGCTGAAAAGGGACAAGAACATGAGCAATGGGAAATTACCTCCGACTGAAACAAACACACTCAAGTTTTGGAGAGAAGTGAAGGTGGCCTTCCCTAGGCTCCTGGATACCCAGGGAGGGTCACTGAGGCTCTTCTGGGAAACCCAGAGTGCAGCCCCAGAGACATGCCAGAGTGAGCTTAGCCTGGACAGAGCATATCCAGGAAAGAGCGGACTCACAGGTTCTGCCTTGACTCTCACCTAGTTTCACACCTCAGCCAGGCAACAGCCCTGACCAGCTCCAGCAAGAAGCATCAACCACTGTCTGTGCAGAAGAGCCTGGACAGCCAATCCCAGGGAGAGGGCACCAAGGGAGGTGGCAGGACTGACCATGTGTGCTGGGCCACTTCACAGCATGTACCCCTATCCTACATCTGCAGCTCCTGAGGTGTGTCCAGAGGAAGCACCCAAGAGGGGCAACAAAGCTTCTGAGGCCAAGGAGCTGCAGGACCTGTCCCTTGACGGGCCTGCACTCCTCCTCTGCCACCTCTGGAGCAGGGAGCTGAGTCCCCAGCATGATGTCCACACACTGTGCACTGGGTCCTCTCACTTCCAAACAGCCCCAGAAGGAAGGCCCTGGGGCCCCAACTTCCAGAGAGGAGCTGAGACCCACAGATGAAGTAGCTAGCCCAAGGTGACCCACCATCTGCCGCAGGGAAGCCACACCTGGAGCTGGGATGGAGGGACCCGATGGGGAGACTTCCAGGCCATCCCCACCCACAGAAAGTGAAAGTGCCAGAGAGCTGGGATTCCAGAACAAAGAGCGAACGGGGACCCTGGGCCAGCGGCCCCCTCCTCAGTCCCCCAAGGACTACTGTCCTTCCTCAGGTGACCCCAGGGGAGGTCTGGCTTGTCCAAGGTCGGGCAGAGGCACAGCTGGGATCCCAGCCGGGACTTATCTGTGGCCCAGGTCCAGGAGTGAGGGAAGGCAAGACAACGGGTAAGAAGCACTCTAGCATGCCACCACCCAGGGGTACGCACCCCCTTCCCACCCACCAGGTGCCACCAGGGGCCTGCACCCACCCACACCCACACCCACACACCCGCGTTTCCATGGCTACCTCCAACAGCTCTTCCCCTCCTCCCCCCCCCCCCCGTCCCAGCCAGAGTTGAGAGAGAAAAGTGGCTTCCGGTGCCCCTGGCCCGGGTGCCCACGGGCCAGCCACGCTGGGGAGCCTGGTTCCCGGCCCTGGCAGGCCCTGCGCCGGCCGCCGGGCCTGGGGCGAGGGGATCTGCAGGCAGGGGACACCGGGAAAGGAGCCGAGGGAGAGTGGCGGCCAGGGCGGCAGCCTGCGCCCCGCCTCGGGGGGGGGGGGGGTGTCTGCGCGGCCCGGTCACCCCTCCTGCTGGGCCGCCCCGCCAGCCACCGCCCGCCCCAGGCCGCTGAGCGCGGCAGACCKGCGGGAGGCCCGGCCTCCGTCTTTGTCCGGCGGCAGGTGCGGTCGCGCTCACCCGGGCTGGGGCAGTCGGGCTCCGCGCCCTCGGGGACCCCCGGCGCCTCCGCCAGCCCGGCCGCCTCGTCCACGCCGCCGTCGGCGCGCGCCTCCACGGGCACCACGGTGAAGTTGGTGGGCATGGCGCCGCTGCCCTGCGCGCTCCGGCCGGGCGCAGCCGCCGCTCTGCCGCCGGGACTCGGGCGCAGGGGCGGGGTCCGTCCGGCCCGCCCCGCCCCGGCCCGGCCGCACGTGACCTCACCTGCCCGCCCCCGCGGCCCGCGGAAAAGTTTGCCCGCTGCCGGGCTGCTCCACAGCCCGCCCGCGATCCCGCTGCCCGCGCCCGCTGCCCACCCCCACGGGCGGCTCCCCCGCCCGCGCCGCAGGCCACGCCCGCCTCTAGGCCKAGACCCACGCTGGCGAGACCGACCCCTCCCGCTTCGGACCTGGTCGGGCCCCTGGCCTGGCTCGGGGCCCTCCTAGCCTGCCAGAGCAAGGGATCCTGGGTTAGCCCTGGGGCCGGGGTCCTCTGGAGCTTGCCCCGCCCCCGCGCCCTGTTAAGAGGGATGTGACCGAGAGGGATGTGACCGGGACCGCCCCGGTGTCCCAGACTCATTGTGTCTGCGGCGGGAATGCCCTGCGACCCCGCACTAAGGGACCCTTGCTCCGTGTCCTGGGGATACAGCTTCCTTCATCTCTTCCCGCCTTGATCTAAAGAAGCTCCACGAAAAGGAACCCCGGGCTCCCGACCCCCAGGTCACACCACTGGCCTTCCCCTGCCGGCACCTGGTCGATTTTTCAGTGAATGACTGGTGGAGAAGTGGGAACAACCAGATGCCCAACAGTAGAGGATTGGTCTAACATGCCACGCGCTCGGGTGCAAGGAAGCACCCCAGAGACGGTTAGGCTGGGTAGCACGAGTGCAGCAGGGTGGCCAGAGGGTGCACTGGGAAGCACCTGTTTGGTGGGGAGCTGTTGGGTGACCAGAGGCAGCTGCCAAGCTAGCAGCTGTCCGGGGCGTGGGAGTTACAGGGCTCTGCATTGTGTTCTCTCTGATGCCCAAACAATAGAAAACAAACTCAGAAAAGCCGTCTCCAGGGAAAGGCCAGGAGCACCCAGGGTGACAGCCCTTCTGCACCCAGCAGGTCCCCTGCCTAGCACCAGCCTCTGCAGAGGCACAGTGCAGTGGCCTGGGCCACATGCCCATTCCCACTCTCTGTCAGGAGCCCCTGGAGTCCAGTGGGAGTTAGGTGAGGGTCGGCTGGACAGAAAATGGAAAGAACCATAAGATGCCACTCTAGCTGACTTTACGAGATGACCTGGTGCTGAGGGCCCTGCAACAGAAGCGCCCTGAGTCTGTGGGCAGATCTGCCCTGGGTCACCAGACAAGGGCTCCCTAGTGCAGCACTGACCACCTTCTCCCAGCTACCCAAAGCTATTCTTTTATTTTTTTCAAAAACAAGAATTTCATGATTTATTATGTATTTTACAAAGAACTAGAAAGAAGAGAGAGATTTGAAGTTTCCCAGTAGAGAGAGATGAGAAGTGATTCAGGAGGAGGAAAGGCTAATTGCCCCGATTTATCATCACATGGAATGTTAAGAACTATCCTTGCACCCCACGTGTGTCCAACCATGCAGGTCAGTTTACAATAAAAATGAAGAATAAATGAAAGCAGAAAGGGGTGGACAGACCCTCCCAGCAGGAGGGCTGTGGGGACAGGAGGAGCCTTTGGCTGCCCTGCAAGACCTGGACTCCAACTGAGGAGGCCTGCCTGGGGTGGGAGCCTCCTGCCTAAGGCCAGGTGGTCTCCTGGGGCCCAGCAGACAGGTGCAGCAGAGGCCCACGCCCACCCTCCCAGCAGGGACAAGGCATCCTGCTCTCTGAAGTTAGTTGACTGTGGACTCTAAAATTCTGGTCTTCGCTCTGCAGAGCTGACGTCACCAGGGAAACCAGCAGATGAAGAGTGGGCCTCACCAAGGTACTAAGCAGACAGTACTGTCCCCAAGTACCCCAGTGGGGTTGGGGACTATGCAGGTCACCACTGGGACAGGTGATAGAATGTGGGGTTCACTGTACTATCACTGTACATTACGGTGGGTGCAGAATTTTTCCAAGTAGAATAATTGCATAACTCCAGGTAAATGGCCCTTATTTCAGTGTAGCCAGTGACTGGGTCCTGAAAACACTGGTCTCCGAGTGCACCCCACTCTGCAGGCAGCTCTCCTGGGCCTGCAGGACCCTCACTGGGGCGGATACCTAACCTGCTGCAATTGGGGCCCCATAGATCCACCTGGCCAGAGGCCTCCAGGTGGGTCCTTGAGTAGGGATCAAATCCCCAAGCCAGTGGCAGGAAGTAGCAGGAAGTAGAATCTGGACACAGAGGGCAGATCCCTGCCTGCTGTCCCGGAAGACCTTGTCAGGGCTTTATTTTGCATTTGAGAAAAGCAAGTAATTCCAAAAGAATGGCCAGGGAGCCTCCTCCCACTAAGCCAGCCCCACTGCTGCCCTCCTTAGCAGGTCAGGCTTTCCCCACCCCGAAGGCCTCCGGCCTTCTCTCCAGTCCTTGTTCACGGTCAAGTGATTTAAATTTTTGCACTGAGACTCGTATCACAGCAGGACAYTCGTGCATCGGGGGCAAATTGAAGGCATCTCATTTCTTTTAGTGTCGGCCACCCAAACACTGTCACCTCTGGTGCTGTTCTTGTCTTTCTCCGTCCTGCAGTGCCCAGGACGGAACCCAGGACCTCAGGCAAGCTAAGCAAATGCTCTACCACTGGGCTACAACAGTCACTTTTCTCTCTCTCTCTCTCTCTCTTTTATTTTCCCCTAAGTTACTACTTTTGGAATAAGTCCTGGACAAAGGTCTGCTGTCAGCTGGGGAGGCCACACCAGACAGAGTCCCAGGGGCTCACCTGGGTGCAGGGCTGCAGGAAAGGGAGGAATGCCTAGGGCCTGAGACGGGAACTGTGGGACATAGCAAAAGTGCCATCAGGCTCAGAGGGAAGTGCCCAGGAGCCCTTGGAATGCAGGAAACCCCCATGAACCTTTGAAATGCAAAGCAATCATCAGCAAGCAAAGCAGCCCACCTTGTGTCCTTAGCCTGTGCCCCTGGCAGCCCCTGCCCCTGCCTGCCAGAGGTAGGTAGCATGAGGCCGGGGGGCAAAAGGGTTGAGAGTTCCAGACCAGCCTCAGCAACTCAGCAAGGCCGTGTTTCAAAGTGAAAAAAGGGCTGGGGGTAGGGTTCACAGTCCCCAGCAATCCAACTACAAAGGACAGTGAGGGCCAGGCACAAAGGCTGAGGAAACTGTGGCCTGTGGGCTCTGCCCAGGCTCACCTTGGCCAGGCCTGAGCTGTGACCCTGTAGATAGGAGCACACCACATGGAGGGTTGCTCCCTCCTCTGTGGGTGCTGCTGTCCCCTGAATGTGACGTTTTACTTTTCCCCAAAAATGCCTCTTCAGAGATAGCCACATTCTCCCTCCAATGTGTCCCACTGGTGCAGGCTGAAACTCTTCTTTGTCACATGTCATAAATCTCACTTGTCCGAAGTCAGGTTCCCCCCTCTCTGGGAAGGGACACTTTATGCTTTGAATACAGCCCTTGCTGCTCTGCCACTGCAACTTATTATGGCTGGGGGTGGGGAGTCGGGGGGAGACACCGGGCATTGAACCAGGGCCTTGTGCATTCTAGGCAAGCCCTCTACCACCTGAGCCACATCCCCAGCTCTGCAGCTGACTTTTAAAATGGACACTTTTCTTTCTCCTCCTCTCTCCTGCTCCTCCCTAATCTCTCCCCTCCCTAATCTCAGGGGAAACTCATTACCTTTCTTCCCCATCCCAGACAGAGTTACCTGTCCCTGAGCACACACCCACCATGGGAATGAGGTCTCCCAAATTAACAAGTGAATCACACTCCAACAGAGAACACGGGAGAATCACCCTTTAACTGCCCCCTGGTCCTGCTGAGGGGCAGAATCACAGCCTCTGGCACAGGAGTCCCCTGTGTCTCTTGGTTTATTGCTAACAAAACAATAAACCATGTCCTTGTTACTGGATTGGCACCAGAGACTAGGACGAAGGTTTCGGCAAGAGTCACGCAGGCAGTGAAGGGCCTGGGGCAGGCACTGCGGGCAGCTCCCACACCTCATCTCCACCCTCCCACCCCAGCAGGGACCTGGGCTGGGCCCCACCCTTCTCTGGAAGGCCGCCTTCAGGGAGCAGGCCGGCAACACGCCCTGTGCCTCCGGGTGCCCTGTGGAGAGTTCCTGGAATGGGTGAGATGGGGCCTGGGCAAAGCCCCTGAAGGGCGGGCTGGGGCCACTGACCTCCGGTAGGCCACCTGCTCCCTGTTGCTGCCCCTCTCCTGGCCACAGCACACTCGGACCACTGCCCAGCACATCTCCAGTATACCTCTTTGTAGCTAGGGTCAACTCTGGCCTTTCCACCCAGTGRAGATGTAAAGCCCCGTCCTCATCCTTGAGGCCCATCCAGACAAGGTCTTGGGAGAAAGGAGAGCTAAGTTTCGTTGCTTTGCTAACAAAAGAGAAACACAGGGGGCTCCTGTCCCAGAGGAGGCTGTGACTCTGCCCATCAAGGGAACAGGGGGCTGTTGCAGAGGTGATTCCGAGAAAATGGGATCAGTGAGGACAGATTAGGGAAAAGAAGAACATCAGAGAGGAGAAGGTAAGGGAAAAGAAGATCAGAGAAAATCAGGGAAAAGAAGATCAGGGAGGAGGGGATCAGAAGATCATGGAGAAGAAGGTTGGAAAAACCTGTAAGTTTCAAAGCCACAGGGCTCACAGTGAAGCCCTTCAGCCTCAGTTTCTCTGCTCAGTGGATGCTCCTGGGCAGAGGGAGGCTGGCCCACCCTGTGGGCTCCATGGGAGGCCCCCTGGAGCAGAGGCCCCCGGGAGGGCCCAGGCTTGCTGCACTCCTGCCACGGGGGGCTCCCTCAGGAGCAGGGCTGCGGGACCCTCTGTGGCCTCCACGCTCCTCCCAGCAATCAGCTGGCAGGGGAGGGCCATGAAGATGGCACCCTCTGTACCCGAAGGCTGTTGAGGGAGGAGAAGCAGACACAGGAGCACAGGGTGCCTCCGTGCGGTGACCAGCAAGGCCTGAGCTGGATTCTGCAGAGCCACAAGGAAAAGCCAGAACTGGAGGAAGAGG